CCGCCTGCCCAAGGCAAGCCTCGGTGCATAACCCTTATTTTGAATGATCACTGGATATATAGATGTGATGTGCATTTACGTCATAGGCATTTTATGGAAACTACATGCATAGATAACCTACCTATGAGTCATACTAGCATAGGTTAAGTAGCTGCTATGCTTAGGATTTTTGGTATCGTGAGTAACTTGCCATTACTCACAATAGGTGATTATTACTATCACTCTTATGATAAAATGGTCAAAGGAAAATAGAGACCGGGCAGGGATATGGTACGTGTATTGGTGGGTGTAAGGGGTTGTCCGGCGGCCAACGGGGCATAGCTTGGTTACACTGTTTTTCCTGTCCGTGTCGGTTAAGGACCGACCGTTGCATTGGATTCTAGTCAGGTCACAGATTTATTATCCTGAGCACATACTTGTTTATGGGAGCATGGAAGGCTCGTTGCTCTCTTGTTGTAGGTTCCGTCTCTTTCTGGACCGACTGATTGGAGGCAGGGATGTTGGAGGTCTAAGCACCACACTGAGTCCGGGACTCAGGTGTGGGGGCTTGGAGTCCAAGTTTGGACTGGTACCTGGACCCCTTGATAGGAGAGTGGTGGGTTGGTCCTGCTTGTGCCTGGGTACAAGCGGGACATGTATTTCGGGGTGCCCAGCTGGGCACATTGATTCGAGAATCGTCGGGTAATTCGGTACGACTTGTCTACAATCTAGCACCGTAGTAAGAACTGGAAGATGAAAGATGGTGAAATGGATCTATTTGCTCAACTCTTGCTTGAAAGTAGAACAGGTGCTTACCTAGAATGGTTAGATAATGAATTAATCATGACTGCTAATAAGAAATATACCTAAGGATTTACTACTAGTATTGCTTTCCGCAAAAAGGAAACCCAGCAAACCATAAAGCTTATCATATCCTATGGAGTCGGAAAATTATTCTCACTAGTCGGATAAGCCTTGCGAGTACATTGTGTACTCAGGGTTTATTTACCCTGTTGCAGGTGCAGCTTGAAGGGTAGCTGTTGTGTGGAAGATATGTACAGATGGCATTGTGCTCACGTGCTTGTTGGTTAGAGAATAGGGTTCTTACTTGTTTAGTTAGCAGCCTAGGCCATAGAATAGAATGGCCAAAAATCTACCTGTAAAATAATTTTGTTATTTTTTTCACTTTATATTCACGATCCTGATCCACAAACTTCAAGGTGGTGTTCTAAGCAATTGTTGAGTATGTAAGTAATGAATTCCATCACAGTTAAGTGCTGAATCTGTCATGATACTAGTAGAGATACCGTGGGCTGGGCCGATCAAGGGACATGGGCTGGACCTGGACCGAGAGAAGATAAGGACCGGGCTCCTCAGTATTCCAAGGAGGAAAGCAAGCCAACATAAAAGGACTACCACATCACCGCAAGCAGTGTCGAAGGACCAGAACTCGAAGAACGGCGGGCTGCGCTCGAGGCGAGCTTTGCTCGATTCTACCCTTTTCCCTTCTTCCCCCTTCCAAAACTCGTATCCAGATCATTCTAGTAGCTTCTAGACACTTCTATTGTTGCATCTGTACTTCAGTTTTTGGAACGGACTAGTAGGACGGTGACAACTGGTACCGGAGCTCTCGATCTGTGGGCTCTCAGATTCCGCCATGGATGCCGCACAAGAGGCACGACGCAAGGAGATGCTGGACCAGATCCTCGTCATGGTGACGAAGATGGCGTCGGATTTGGAGGCGTGCAACGCGTCCTTTTGAACCGCCCCTCCAGCCTTCGTCGCCAACTCCGACAGCAGCGGGCGTGAGGTCGACGCCACCATCGGCACCGGCTACAACTCCGACAACTCCGTCCTCGCCACCCTCCGCTCCCTCGCCTCTGCCTCCGCTTCCGAATCCAAGGCCGCCGCTAGGTCTCTCGCGGACCACGACCCGTCTGCGGACCGCGCCTCCTCGTACATCGTGGTGGCCGACCAGGACTCCGCATCCGTCACTCCCTGCATCGACCGCTTCGTCCTCGCCACCGCGCGCAGCATCCTCTACGGTCGGGGCTTCTTCTTCACGGTGCCCTCACGCGCCACCTCCAACCAGGTGCTCGGCCGCCCCATCGGCAAGCATATCTTCGGTGACAAGCTCCCGGCCATGGCGACGACGCGGTCGTTGGAGCTGACGTTGATCTCGGGCGACCCCCTGTCGCGGAAGCGGGTCCAGGCTGACCGCACCGGCGACCGTAACCCGATCTAGAACGCCACGCACCGGAGTAGTTTCCATATAATATAACCATGCAAGGGCTCAGTAGTACATTACATAAATATATATTACTTGTGATTAGTGGATATATTAGAAATAAAAAAGTAAACCATTGGCACTTAAAATACCTCACTAATGAAGATTATGTTGATGATTGATCACTCTGGACTAGAATACGAGCAAAAGCCAACGGGACGACCATGTGGGCTGCTAGATAAAGCTTCCTTAGTTCCTTCCGTGGTGTTTGCTATGTAGGCCCCATCACCACAGGCCCACCTGCCCAGCCACTAGACCCAGCAGGCAGTAGGCAGCTCATACTTACGTATATACACTACGTATGCTTAGTTTTTTTCTATAGAATTTAGGTATGGCGGCAGCCAAACCTTGCCAGATACCTGGCTCCGCCCCCCGCTAAGCCAGCTAAGCAGGGTTGCGGCCAGAGCGGCGGCGTGCGGGCCGTCTGCAAAGCGGCCCGCTTGCATCCATAAAACCTATTGTAGTTGCAATAATGTAGATACAACTAAGATCTGACCATTCACATAATTTTGTCTTTGAACTGCAGGGTACAGAAACTCGCTACTTTAGAAAATAATCTGTCCCTGTGAAGCAAAGATAAACAGAAGAAAAAGAGTACCATGTTTGGAGCAAAGATGAATACAAGGACAATTTATATGAAATTAAGGTAACTCTAGCACTGTGAAACAAAATGAGCAGGTAGCAACATATCAGGTGGCCATATAAAGATTTTAGAGGAGCAGAGTTTCATACTTCCAATAAAAAAGACGTACCTAGTGCAGAGAGCTCCCGCTCTGTACGAGGTCTAGGGAAGGGTGTCAGTGACTAGTCTTACCCTCGCCTGTGCAATGCGAGGAGACCGCGACTCGAACCCAAGTTTGAGGTAGGCATGAAGATAGTTTGGCAAGAATGAGAAATTTGCGTCACCTGCACTGTAAACTTCAGAGAAAGGATGCAACTTTGGCAGTATCTAACTTGGCATAAATTAAATGAAGCCTTCCCTTTGGTGGAAGAAGGCATTGAAGAAATCTGTCAGCTCCCATATTACCTGTGGAAAGGGCATCCTGTAAAGATCATATAACATAAGTAGCTGTTAGTATCAAATTCACCTAGTGACGAATACAATGTGGAGTAGGAATATGAAATTACAACAACAGTAGTAGCTCGGTAAATGTTGAAATTTCTCAACAAAACAGGTATCGTTAGAATTTCTCAGCAAAACAGCTTTTCAAAAAAAGAGAAAAGAGATTGTTAGCGAAGCTAAGGTGGGTGAACACTCCCACGTGGACGAACATTCCAGGTCTGGCTTACTAGGATTTGTAGTTTGATACATTGACAATGCCTTTGAGTCGTAGGAGATTCATCTCATATAATGAATTCCTACTAATAAGACCTTCAAAATAAGTGCCCCTTAAATTATGAAGAGACTATTCTTAGGAATATCCAAAGGATAAGAGACGTCACAACATATAAAGCAATATGCAACACAATAGGATCTCTGATCCATGATTCTAGAATTCCTATCCTGATGAAAACATAATATGGAACACATTCTAAGGACAGGAACACATTGTAATAATGGTTAATATCATGATTTGTTTGGTGCTCCATTGATGAAACAAAAACTGAGAAATGCATCAAAAAATTTTTAAGGATATACGTCGTTTCCTATTAAGGTTTTCCTGAATAGTGCCTCCTTGTTAGCACAAACATGGAGCTGGTTGAATAAACCTCGGGAAATTAAAATCGCCTAACTCTAATCTGTATGAAAAAAAGGTGGAGTCATAACATGATGAAACATGTCAAGTGCAATTACTGTGGAATAACCTAAGTTGGAAGCAGGTGCAATAGTACATCGATTCAAAGCATCATGAATCACTACCACTCAGTTTACTGAGGTTCTCAATGGATCCATTCAGTGGAGCATCCTGTTATGGGCGTATTCAGTGCAGAGAGCTCCCGCTCTGTGCAGAGTCTAGGGAAGGGTGTCAGTGGTAAGCCTTACCCTCACCTGTGCAATGCAAGGAAACCGCGACTCGAATTCGGGACCTTCCGGTCACAGGCGGTAAGACACTACCGCTTGCACCAGGCCTGCCCTTCGCTTCCACATTTTTCATGCAGCTAATTTTTCCACACATAACATGGTTCTAAACATCTCTATCTTCAATTAATACATAATTACATCATAACTGTCCCATTTGAATAGCTTTCAAGTATCAAGTGATATGCACAGAGCATCATTTTGCTCACAACACACACAAAATATGAAAGGCAACAACCTCCCCACAAAAACAGAAGCATGCCAGTTGAGCCACAAAAAAAAAACATGTAAGGCATTCCTACTGATGCAATATAGACTAGTAATCGAAAAGCTCATTTATCTAAGTACGAATTCAGAGTATATTTAGATATATAACAGCACTGTATCCGTAACATATGAGCATGCTGAATTAAAGAAATCATACAGAAGTACATGCATAATGCATTGCGTAGTGCAACACAGAGCAGGCATTGCATGGCATAAGATATAGGGCACTTGTACAGAAACCAATCTAAACAAGTCCTACAAAAGTTATTCACATAAGCAGTACACACGCTCAACTTCCATTCAGATATATACAACATTAGAGCTCAGTGCATTTGCATCACACACGAATGTGAGGAATTAATAAGGAGACTAGCAAGCATTTCATGTTGCAACATAAGTAGGTGCTATGTGCAATATGCAAGGAAAGGGATCATGTCAAGACTCATATTACTGCAAAAAATTTAACAAATAAAAACAAAGATTAAGCAAAATAATAACCGAAACTAGGATATTGTCAAATTGACTTAAAAAAGGTGCTAAACAACACAGAGGTGGGGCACAGGATTGACGCGACCCACGAAGGGGGATCCTAATTCGTAAACCATATCTAGATAAAGGGTTTATATCATCTTTACATGACTAACTAATGGCCGCACTCATTTAGCAAGACAATTGGTGGGAAAGCATAAATAAATAACAAAAGATTCTATATCAATAGGACCCTGAGTAGCCCCTCAAAAAATCCAATGCAATCAGAAAGACTACAGGAGTCAACTCTCTGCAGAACTCTCACCTGTAAGTTTTGATAGTTTTCATCACCTGCTCAGCATTAATATCAAGCAATCCTGATTCTCATCGATTTGCCAAATTCCCAGAAACAAATTTGTAAAGCATTCCAAATAGGAGTATGCAGCAATATCGCACAGCAGCACACACAGAAACCAACAATGCGCAACAAATGAAGACTCACACGATCCGCGAACAGGCTCTCCTTCTTGCTGGTCTTAAATAGCGCCAACTGAAACTCCTCCTGCGCAGAGGTACAAACAAGAACAGCCATCTCAGCATTGACCATCACACACATGCGCGCATACTAACATGACCATCCACACTTGCACATACCACATACAGATTAATAAGAGATTACATAAGAAGCAAGCAGTGAACCAGACACCCAACGCTGACCTTGTTAATCAGCCCGTCGTCGATGACGGCGCTGCTGATCTTCTTGAACAGCTCGTACAGCGCCTCGACCTCGCTCACGCTGACTGCAGGAACAACAAGCACGGGCGGCAAGCCCACCCAGAATATACCCAAGCGGATTGGGGCTTACAGACGGTCTCCCTCGCGAGGACCTGCGGGTCCTCGAGCCCCCGCGGCTGCTTGAGCTCGACGTCGCAGCACTTGAGCAGGACCGCGCCGCGGGCAGCTGCCTCACCCCGTCCAGGAATTCCACACTGACACACTGAAAGTTTGGCTAAGCAGGTAACATATAGTAGGCATCCAATGATTAGAAGAAGTAACACATGCACGCGTGGAAGCAGTGAGTGCGAGAACAAAGTAATGCTCCAGTGGAAATCAAGTAAATCATTCTGCCTATGAAAGATAACCATTGAAGACTTAGCTGTAAATCAACAACAACAACGACAACAAAGCCTTTAAATCCCAAGCAAGTTAGGGTAGGCTAGAGTTGAAACCCAACAGAAGCAATCAAGGTTCATGCACGTGAATAGCTGTTTTCCAAGCATTCCTATCTAAAGCTAAGTCTTTGGATATATTCCATCCTTTCAAGTCTAAGACTTAGCTATAAATAAGAAATAAATATAGATATAGGTAAAAATTTTCTGCCTATGATAGATAACCACAAAGACATAGTTCTAAATAAATAATAATGATATAATTTAAAATATTGTGTTCAATTGTCCAGAACATATAAAGAAGCGTGTATGAGGATTAAGGAATGAATAGGAACTAATAGGGGACAAAGGTAACAGATGAGCCAAAAAAACTGGACATCAATGAGTCTTTACCATCCGCTTATCATTCAGAAGAGAGACGGGGTTCACATCGTCGCCTCTGCTAGTGAGGCGTGGGTGACGTCTCCAGCCCTTTTGGCAAGGACACGATCATCCTGCATCCATAAAGATGAACAACGAAGGGTGAAGAAACTAGCCAAGGATGCAAGCCAAAAAAAAAAGGTTAAGCATCATCCTTTGGCATGTTGTGATGGCGGCGGTGTGGGTGGCGGTGACTTGACGACACGGACAAGTACAGAGACGACAGTACCTGGATCTAGTCGCACCGGAGGCCTCACGTGCGCCGACGCCCGGGCTGCACCGCTAGGGTTTGCCGGCACCGGCGCCCGAGCAAGATACTTGTATACTTATCAAGATAAGTTCATAGTGTTAGAGATTACTTATAATTAGTGCTTAACAGGATCATCTAGTTCCGATTAGGACACCTACTTAATCTTAAATTTAGAATTAGATATATCTTGGGTTGACCTTCGTTTGCGGATGAGGAAGCCATTAGGGCGAAGACCGGTACCTGCGTGATGCAGGCATTGGTGGAGTTAGGTCGGTGAAAGTGATGTCGCCCTCCTGGTAGCGACGGCTACTCCTCCACTCTTTCCACTGAGCTAGGGCAGCGGCCTTCCCTTTACTCCAGCGCTCGAGTTAGATCGGGTGCTTAGGTTATGTGGCTAACCTCACTTGTCCGTTGGGTACCGAGAGGGGAAAAGGAGCCTTCTATTTATGAGCGATGTGTAACAGGGGGCCGCAACCGGGGTTTCGTTGGGGCGACTCCGATCAAGTCACGTTTTCCCCTACGGACTCGGTCATATGACCGTTTGGTCATTTGACTGTTCCTGAGATCAACCCAATATTCTCCTCCTTGATCGAAAGGAATCCATTCTTCAATTTAAAACAATACACCAAGGCAAAGTGTTACGATTGCCAGTTAAGTGCAACCAAACTCAGCGACTATAGCATACCATTTAAAATCGTCGAATGAACATTTTCTTAGTCTTTTGAGGAGACGGTTGCTTTAATGGTCCCTTAATACCAGAATCATAATCAATGGCCTCCTAAATAACACTACTACACAAATCTTTACCGAGGCGGGCAAAATTGATTTAACGAGGCGGGCATCGCAACCGCGTCGGACGAAAGGTTACGGTTAATGGGACCTTTTCCGACGCGGTTGGAAGCCCGCCTCGGTAAATCAAATAAAAAAACAAAAAAAGAAAAACCCGTGGATAAGCCCGACGAGCCCATCCATGGGCCCGCCGAGCCCATCCACGCGTCGCCGCCGCCGCAGGTGCTTGCCGGAGACGCAGGCTGGATCCACGCGCAGCCCATCCACGGTCGCCGGATCTGAGAGAGGAAGAGGAGAGGGTCGCCGGTGGGAGAAGAGCGTCGCCGCCCACCACGCCACGCACCTGGACGTGCCGCCGCCGTGGGATCCGCATCTGGACGTGCCGGTGGTGGAGGAAGGGACGCCCGCCGAATTTGTGCTCGTTGGTGAGGAAGGAGGCGATGGGGCACCGGATCTGCGCTGGTGGCGCCGGATAAAGGAAGTGATCACTGGCACACTTTAGATTCAAACTCTAGGTTTTAAAACACACACACATATATATATAGCTATAAGTTGATAAAACCTGGTCTTGAAAAACAAAAACCTTTATTTTAAATACACATGTGGCAATGAATGTTGAATCTTGCTCTGATGCCAGCTGTAGCAGAACCGACCAATTTATAAGAGCACAAGTACAATGGCAGCCCGCAAGCGGTCGTACTGTCATACTTGAGCCCATATAAACCCGGTAGTCCGTCGAGTACCACGATAGGTCTCGATTAACCATCAACATACAACCAAGATCGTACATGATTCAACATACATGTCACACGTTACATACAGTTCACAAATACCATTCATTCATCAGAGTACGACTTAAGGTTATTACAAACCAAGTTCAGTAAATAGTAGCGAAAGCAAATTAAAGTTTGAAGCTAACATTTGCCATCATAGTTCAGATACAGTGCCAACTCGTGATCACACTTCCACAAAAGCATGTAAGAAGGATTAATAATAGATGTCTGCCCAGGGCTCACTCCTCGTCCACAGCGTTACAGAAGCAGTTCTTGCAATAGCCATGATAAACTGTACCATATGCAAAAATGAGAATAAAACCCTAGTACAAGAAGGTACTCAGCTAGACTTATCCGTCATAAACCAAAAATAAAGTGACTCCAAGGATTATGCAAGGCTTTATAAGTGGAGGTAGCTTGACAACATTTTGCATAAAAAAGCGATTAACTCTGTTGTACAATTATAATTCGGTCATCAAGTTAATTATAGCTATTCATCTCTAGATTAGCAACTAACCTATGCCAAATATGTGGTATATCATTTAGTAGCATACAATAGTAACCATAGCCGGTGTAGTAATTCCATGTTCATCCGAACCATCATGTTACATATCACAGTTACTACGATGTTGGTACTAGCCAAGTTTCTCACTGTCTGGGAGAGATGGCGATTTGAATCGATTTCAACCAGCTGGGACTTTATTCCTAACATAAACCCAGGCAGACCAGATCAACGGTCATCTTAAGTCACCTTTGGTACAACTCAGGTCCACATTTCGCGGGTTTGCCCAGCGCAGCACAATTAGGGACAACCAGTTGCCAAGTTGATCAGGACTACCCTGCCCTTGGGCTCATGCCTGGCTCCCCGCACATCCTTAATACCATCTAGAGTGCGCACTTTTATAGAACAGGCCCGGCCTGAGTTGAGCTACTCGGCTTCGCGGTCGGAACGAGTTATCCGACCAGCTAAGTGATAGGCATGCGTTCAATCTTGTCAGAAGCACCCAACAACGGTACGACCCTTAATCGGCACAGACGAAATCACATGAGTCAACCTACACATAGACTCCGTTCAGCCTCCATTTACATTACCTCATGATTCTTTTCCACGATAGCAAATATAGCCAACCGTGCTTTGGTATCCACCTATATCCTGCAGGTGACAGGAAATCATCCGACTTCTACCGATCTAAGCATGGCTAAGCATATATTCGATCCTGGACCTACACATGGTTAGAGAGATATGTATCTGGACAAGGTAGTTTCATGCATCAAGTGTTTCTAATCAACTCTTATAACCTAATGCATCAAACATAAAGGACCCAAGTAATATTTCGTAAAACATGGGAGACTTAGAATGCTCCAGGGCTTGCCTTTAAGAAAAGAGGTTGGCCAGTGATCCGAACACTCAGGGAGATCTTTGAGAGTCTACTCCTCTTCTCCTGGAGCTGCGGCCTGAGGCATCTCCTGCTGATTCTCCTTTTCTTCTTCATTGAACTCCAACAGAATTATTTCTTCGAACGATCCTATATGCATGAGCATGAAATAAGATATCACGAATACATATACGATGACACGTATAATATGATATGATGTGATGAATGCATCCTCATAAGTGTTTTCAACAGCATGGTATTAAAGTAATAACAAGTGCATCTTATTTTGCTGAGTAGGTGCCTATCTCTTCTCTAGTAACTAAACAAACACTTATATAAATTATTTTCTGGACCACAATAAAGCAAACAGTTGTTTTGACCATAACTAGAGTTATACACTTCAAAATAATATGGTTATGGACATTCTGGAAATATTATGAAATTGCCTACAAATTTATTTTAATCATCTTAATGTGATTCAGTAGTTATCTAGGTCAAACAATTCAATCATTAAAATCTGTCCAAAGAGCAAGCATTTCTGACAGCAGACTTCTAACAGCCATAATTCTTAAACCATAAGGCCTATGACTATGAAAATTTAACATAAGGTAGATAAGAAAGTTATCTACACCTTTGTTATTAACAAGTTTTATAGAAAAGACCATTATCATTATGAAATTATCAACTCAACCGAAACTATATATGCAGCCATCTAGTTGAATTATAAAGCAATAATTAATTAGTTGCATACAACCAATTGCTTTTAAGCCTTACTAAAAACATCAACAAATCATATGTATCATAAGCACCATAGAAAACATCATGGTCAAACATAACTAACTTATTTATATCCATTTATTATTTTCCTTAAATAATAGGGTGATTTAAAGGATGAATAATTCCAGTGCTTAATAAATTCTGATAAAATTACAGTAGCCTACAAATGACCTCAATAGTCCAGTGTACAAATTTCATTCTATTTGGATAAGTACAACTACCTCTACAAAAATGACAAGTTACATAGGCTGATTTTAGCAAAAATAGTTTAGCATAGTGAAAAGTCTCAAACAACAGATTTAATATTTTCTTAAATTCCTCCAAGCATAAGAATACTGTATAAAAATTTGCATGATCATATGTTATGTATTTTTACCTCAATTAATTTCACTAGAAAGTAGCAATTAATTAGGATTAAATAGATAGACCATATTA